GGCCGACACTCTCTCCACTGAGCCAAACTGGTTAAGGCTGATTGCTTTTATTTCTTAAATACTAGTAGCCCGGTGCACAAAAATTTGTGCACTCATGGGGGGGGGGTCCCTCAGTTATTAAACATTTATCGGCACAGGTGATGGTGGTGGTCTTGTCAGAATGTGTTATATTATGCAGATGAAAATCTACTTAAACAGATTTGATGTAGATATTTTCAAAGATGGAAGAATTGTCCCTGTCAACTATTTTAGTTGATTCATATCTTCACTAATTGTCCTCATTGCAAAGTTTTCAGTCCCCATATGGATTGCTGGATATAATAGGTCATGAGCTGTCCCTGTCATTTGTAGCCTTTGTTACCTTAAGGACTCTAGTTTTCCATTTATATGTTTAAGTACCAACCTTCTGGCTTAAAAATGTAAGCTTTTAACACTGCTCTCTCTGTTCCATATCTTTCTGATGAAAAGTGGAGTTGGGTTGCAGCACAGGAGAGAAATTCAGAAGGGGAATATTGAAGTAATGACTGCAGTAGGAGAAGAGGGAACCTATTTCCCTGGCCACAGGCGCTGGCGCCCTGGACCACAGGGCTGGCAGCTTCTCCAGGTGGCTGCAGCCTGGGACCTCGGGCAGGTGGCTTGTCCGTCTCCTGGGCTGCAACCTGCCGCAGGCGCTGGCGCCTGGACCAAAGGTGGGCGGCTTCTTCTTCTGGCGGCTTCTTCTTTTTCTGTGCTTCCACGGAGGGCAGTCAGTTATATGTATATGTGTGTGCATGCAAACATAGGCGTGTACATGTGTGTATGTGGAAATCTGCTGGGCAAGTCAAAACCATAGAAGAGTTGCCCCCTATCTCTTGAATCTTCCAGAGATATCCCCCACTTTTTTATTCTATCACTACTGGAGAGTCAGTATTTGCAGCCAGCCAGCCAGGGACTCTCTCAGTGTCTATTTCTGACTTCTTCTTTCCCTGTCTGTCTTCCAACCCCTGATCATATTTCCACCTGGATGCACCATTTTTTCTCCCAATATGCTGTATAGAGAAGGAGTCAGGATGCAGTCTTCCCATGAATTGTACTCAGTAACAAACCAATTGCATTTTAGTTGGACAATGCCCCTACCCACCGTTCAAATCCCTTCCACCATGCATTTCTGTTTCTTGTTTTGTTTGTTGGATTGTTCTGCTGCTCCTTCTCCTCACCCCACCACCCTGTGATCATCATGTAAAATACTTTTACCATGACAAGAAATTATTAAAAATACAGGTACTTTGAAAAAAAAAATACAGGTACTTCTCCAATCACCGGCCAGGGGGTGGGCAAAGACGGCCCCGGTTCTCGGATCACGGGCTGGGGGCAGGCAAAGGCAGCCCCAGTTCTCCGATCACGGGCCAGGAGGCAGGGCAAAGGTCCCCCCCCCCCCCCCCCGGAGGCTGCCTTGCACCGCCACCAGGCTCTTGTCTGCTGCCTGGGTTTCTGATCACCATCAGCAGCAGGTGGCTTGTCCGTCCTTCCCCTTTCACTCCCAGCATTGCACCTATGTATGCAAATTAACCGCCATCTTTGTTGGCAGTTAATTTGCATATCACCATGATTAGCCTATGGGAAGTGTAGCAAAGGTACGGTCAATTAACATGTTTGTCTACTATTAGAAGGGCTATATTTTTATTGATTTCATAGAAGATGGGAGAAGGAGAGAGAGAGACAAACTTCAATGATGAGACAGAATTATTGACCAGCTGCCTCCTGCAGGTCCCACACTGCAACCCAGGCACGTGCCCTGATGGGAACCCAACCATGACCTCCTGGTTCACAGGTCAATATTCAACCCCTGAGCCTCTCCAGCTGGGCCTGATTCCTCTGATGAGCAAGATCCAGAACAGACAGATCCTTAGAAAGAGAAAGCAGATCAGTGTTCACAGGGGACCGAACCAGGGAGGAAGGAGAGATGACTTCATGGGCACAGTGTGTGAGTGTGTGTGTGTGTGTGCGTGTGTGTGTGTGTGTGTGTGTGCGTGTGTGTGTGTGTGTGTGTTGAATTTCCATTTCCAACAAGTTCCCAGGAGCTGTGACGCTAATGGTCTGGGGCCCACACATTGAGAACTGCTGTTAAAGCTTCCTGGGAGCTGAGGGATTTCCCCTTTTTGATCTAGACTCCCCTAGAATCTTCTTTAAAAATTTTTTATATTAATTTCAGAGAGGAAGGGAGAGGGAGATAGAAACTGTACCCAGCAGCTCAGCCAGGTTCGGGAGCCTGAGAGGGGGCAGTGAAGGATGGAGAAAAGACGGACAAGAGAAGAAAGCTGGGTCTGGGTGGGACGCTGTCCTCTCTGATGGAGAGCTAGCGACAGCGCCACGGCCTGCCAGCCGAGTCCTTATTTTATCGCAGATTCCACGAGGCACAGTAAGGGCGTGGTGACAACGTTCTCGCGGGTTTCAAATCCACTCAGTTACAGGCACCTGATCCAGCTGTGTTACTGCACCTCCCGCAGCCCACATCACTCAGCCACGTGGCCACAGGCTCAGACCATCAGGCCAAGCTCACAACCATAGCCTTTGGCTGTCATGGTGCTGGGAGGGCTTTGCCACGAGAGGACCCAGCCCTCTCATTAGTCCGAGGCTTGAACCTGTCCAAACGCTGTAGCCGCTCTCCCCAGGAATCATTGATCGGCTGCCCCCTGCTTGACCCACACGGATGGAGCCCACAACCTGGGCATGTGCTCGGAGTGGGAATCGAACCCTGACCTCCTGGTTCATAAGTCCATGCTCAACCCCTGAGCCACGCAGGCTGGGCTCCTCTGGAATCTTCTGATCACCTCCTTCATGAGAGAGAACTTATGAAAAAGGCAGGCTGGGGAGAGCCCCTCGCTCCCCAGGAGAGAGGGAGGCCATGGCTTCTGAGGGTCTGCTCAGCCTCCCTGCCGCTGTGGTGGACACCCACCCGCACCCACCGGCCTGGCTGGGGCTCAGCCCTGGAGCCTGGGAAGCCTGGACCCTGTGCTGTGTCCCAGAGAGGGACGGCGACCCCCGGGCCCCATCCTGACTTGCAGGCGTCGGAGGACCTGGGGAAGCCCCTGGCTCTGCTGATTCTGAGCGGGGGGCGTGTGCGGGGCTGGCCCAGGCAGAGGTCCCTGTGGCCAGTGGGAAAGGCGCTCTGAGGGCTGGGGTCTGCCCTAGAGGAGGCAGGACTGGGTGGGTCCCTGCCCTGGGCTAAGGGTGAGCACTGATGCCTTCTCCTCTCCTGGTTTGGCTCCTTGGGGACCCTGAAGCCAGAACTAAAGCTGAGGGACCCAGGAGAGAACTGAGGGGCCGGTGTCCTGGGCTGACTTCCTCCCGGCCTCTCTCCAGGGCCCGTGTGCAGGCCCGGTTGGTCCAGAGCCCCTGGGGCAATCCCGGCTGTGAAACCAGGTTGCACACAAGCCCATTTCTCCTTCCTTCTCCCCAGGCCGAGTGCGCAACAGCACCCTCCACCCCAGATGTCCAAACCCAAGAGGCCCCCAGGCCAAGAGGCCAGCAGCGACCCCAGGCCTCCTGGCCGCACGGCCACTCCCAGGGGAGCTGGCCTGCATGTCCATGGGGCCGCTGGGCCCCTGGCACGCTGGCCTCTCCTCTCCCAGGTGCTCTCTCCCCGCAGCCGCCCGGGCCTGTGGCCACTAGAGCACTGACCGGGCTCATCTGGGATCAATTTGGAAGAGACGTCCGAAGGCTGGGAGCAAAGAGGAGACGGTGGCCCCTCGGCTGGAGGTCAGGGAGGGCTTGCTTGGTGGCCCAGCGTGTCAGGCAGAGAGGAGGGAGCAGAGGGTCCGGGGAGGAGTGGTGGGGTGTATGCAGCAGCCTGGCTCCTGGGGCCTGCAGGGCTGGGGGAGGGCAATGGGAGCAAGGAGACTCCAGGCCCTGCCCAGGTTGGCTCCGGGGTTGAGTGTGGAACTGTGAACCAGGAGGTCACAGTCCCATTCCTGGTCAGGGCACAGGCCCAGGTTGCAGGCTCAATCCCAAGTTTGGGGCGTGAAGGAGGCAGCTGATCCATGATTCTCTCTTATCATTGATGTTTCTCTCTCTCTCGCTCTTTCCCTTCCTATCTTTAATCAATAAAAATACACACACACACACACACACACACACACACAGGCCCAGATGCCAGCGAAGGGTAGGGGCGCACCTGAAGGGGGTGGTGGTGAAATGAGTCATCAGCAGCCAAAGGATCCCCGTGACAATGGTGACGATGGTGACGATGGTGAGGATGGTGATCATGGTGAGGATGGTGAGGATGGTGACTGATGGTGAGGATGGTGAGGATGGTGAGGATGGTGAGGATGGTGACGATGGTGAGGATGGTGACGATGGTGAGGATGGTGAGGATGGTGACGATGGTGAGGATGGTGACGATGGTGAGGATGGTGACGATGGTGAGGATGGTGACGATGGTAATGATGGTGAGGATGGTGACGATGGTGACGATGGTGATTATGTTGAGGAACGTGACTGTGGTCTGAGTAGGAATCAAACCCCGAAAAAGGCAGGCTGGGGCGAGCCCCCTCACTCCCCAGGAGAGTGGGCGGCCATGGCTTCTGAGGGTCTGGTCAGCCTCCTTCCTGTGTGGCTGCCGCCCACGTGCACACATCGGCCTGGCTAGGGCTCAACCTGGAGGCTGGGGAGAGCCACCTCGCTCCCCAGAACAGAGGGCAGCCATGGCTGGAGCCTGGAGCTTGGAGGCGGTGGTGTCTGAAGATTGAGGCTGCATTCACAGGGGAGGAAGGAAGGGGGTGCAGGAGCCAGGCGGTGGATGGGGTGGGGAGAGGGGAAGTGTCCCAGGAGGAAGAAGGAGCAGGTGGGGAGATGGGGAAACCATTTCTTTACATTGCCCTGGAGCGACTTTGCCCACCGAGCAGCAGCCTGTGAGGCAACAGGGATCTGAGGCAAGCCCAGCAGCCGGGGCGTGGACAGGGGGGGCTCGGCCGGGCTGCATAAAGGGGGCCCTGCGTGCTGGGGGGACTCCACTCGGGGACATGGAGACCCAGAGGAGCCGCCTGTGCTGGGGGTGCTGGCCGCTGCTGCTGTTGCTGCTAGGCCTGGCCATTCCCACGCCTCTGGCCGCCGCCCGGGCCCTGAGCTACCAGGAGGCCGTGCGCCTGGCTGTGCAGGGCTTCAACCAGCGCTCCCGGGAGGCCAGCCTCTACCGCCTCCTGCAGCAGGACCCGCAGCCCCAGGGCGTGAGTGTGGGGGCGGGAGGGGCTCTGCTCTGGCCTCCTGCCACTCCCTGGGCTTCTGCTTGGCTGCCCTCAGGGCGGCTGCTCCCTCCAGGGGTCCCCCCTCCACCAGGGCACCTCCCAGGACTGTGTCCCCTCCCAGGGCTGTGTCCCCTCCCAGAGGCCGCTTCTGCCAGGGAATCTATTCTGTGCAATGAGGTCTCCCCCCACTCAGGCTTCAGGCTTCTGGGGTCTCAGGGAAGAGCAGGTCATGGGGCTGGGGTGTGACTCCCGGCTTTATTTATTTATTTAAAAAATCTATTTTTGTTTTCGTTTTATTATTATTATTAGTTTAAAATACTCACCCGAGAACTTTTCTCCATTGGTTTTTAGAGAAAGTGGAAGAGAGAGGGAAAGACGGAGAGAAATATCGATGTGAGAGACACATCTATGGTTGCCTCGTGCACGAGCAAACCCACTGAGCCACCTCGGCCAGGGCTGAAATAGATTTTTATTGATTTCAGGGAGGAAGGGAGAGGGAGAGAGATAGAAACATCCATGATGAGATTCATGGATCAGCTGCCTCCTGCACGCCCCCTACTGGGGATCCAGCCAGCAACCCGGGCAGGTGCCCTTGACCAGGAATTGAACCCAGGACAGAAGGTGCCCTGAGCCAAACGGACCAGGGCACGGCCCTGCTCTGAGTGTCCTGAGCTCATCTGCCTCCCACACAGGAGGCCCCAGGAGCCCTGGCCCCGGGTCCTCTTGGAGCTGGGCAGGCTCTGCCCTCTCCCCCTGCCCACACCCAGCACCAAACCAGCCCCAGGAACAGGGCAGGGGCTGCTGAAGGCTGTTCTCTTTGGAGGGGGCGGGGCGGGGTGAGACCAGGGGAGCAAGCAGAGGCCCAGCCCTGGTCTCCCCACTTTCTCTCCCGCCAGGACCTGAACCCAGACACCCCGAAGCCCGTGAGCTTCACCGTGAAGGAGACTGTGTGCCCCAGGACGACGCGGCAGCCCCCCGAGGAGTGTGACTTCAAGGAGAACGGGGTGAGCTGGGGCTGGGGCGCCCCGAGATGCTGGACAGGAGGCCTCGGGGCCCATTCCCAGGGACGGGACGGCCGGGAGGGCTCAGCTCCGGGTGGAGGTGTGACCTGGGCCCTTGCAGCTGGTGAAGGAGTGCGCGGGGACCGTCACCCTGGACCAGGACACCGGCTACTATGACGTCGTCTGCGAGGAGGTGAGGGGCCCCTTCTGAGACCTGGGGGCCGATGGCTGTGGCCCTGGAGGGTCTGGGCCCAGAGAGCCCCTCCCCCTCCTCCCCCAGCCCCAGCCTGGATCTGAGTGGGGTCCCTGCCCAGGAGCCTGTTAGAAAGGCCCCCCCGCCCCCGACCTGCAGCCTCAGACTCCGGGTGAGGCCCAGCAGGGGGCATGCAGCCACCTTCCAGAAGGTTCCTGCTGAGGCTGGGGGGCCGCTCACTGTGCTGATGAGCTTTCAGCCCGGCTCCCCTCGGCTTTGCTGGATGGGCCCTGGGACCTGGGGAAGCCACTAGCCACCTCTGGGCCTCAGTTTCCCCATCTGTTTAAGGGGTGGGGGCTCCACCACAGGCTCCAAGGTCACAGGCAGAGGGGGAGCCGGGCCCCTAGGCGCCTCGCTGACCCGGGAAGGGGGTGCAGGTGGGGGCTCCTGACCCTGGCCCAGCCCCACATGGAGCCCGTTTCCTCCCCCTGCACAGATCAAGGACGTCAGATTCAACTACGATAGGCTGAGCAACATCATCAAGAGAGGTGGATACAAGCTTGGGGAAGGGCTGGAGATAGTTGGCGGGATACTCAGGAGGTCATAAACGAACCTCTCGCCCAAGGAAGAGCCCTGAGGTCTGTTTGGCCCTGGCCCCCGGCCTCTGCGCTCTGACCAATAAAATCTGGGAAAGTCACCTCCTCAGGCCTCAGTGTCACTTGTGTCGCCTTCTCTCGATCCCGCAGTGAAGCCCGTGCGGCTGTGTGTGTCTCTTTTCCTGAAAATCAGTAAATGGGGGGGCGGGGTGGGTACCTTGGGCGGTGGCCCAGGTTATTGGAGCATCGTCCTGGACCCAAAGGGTTCGGTTCCTTCCCCGTCAGACACATCCCTGCTCTCAGGCCCATCCCTGGTTGGGGAGCATTTGGGAGCCAACAGGTCAATGTTCTCGCTCACATTGAGGTTCCTCTCTCTCCCTCTCTCTCCCTCTCTCTCCCTCTCTCTTTCTCTCTCTCTCCCTCTCTCTCTCTCTCTCTCTCTCTCCCTCTCTCTCTCTCTCTCTCTCTTTCTAAATCAATAAAAACAAGAAATCCCTGGGTGAGGATTAAGGCCGGGGTGGCTCAGTGGTTGAGCACTAACCTGTGAACCAGGAGGTGGCCGTTGGATTCCTGGTCAGGGCACAGGCCCGGGTGGTGGGCTTGATCCCCAGTGGGGGTTGTGCAGGAGGCAGCCGATCAGTGATTCTGTCTCATCACTGACGTTTCTATCTCACCTCCCTTTTCTCTGAAATCAATAAAAATACATTAAAATAAATAAATAAGATCAATAAGCAACACCCTCAGGTGAGGAGGAAAGAAACAAGAGCCTGGCGCCTCGCCGTGGAGCTGGCCAAGGCCCCCCGCCCCCATCGGCCTCTGGGCGCCTCCAGGAGACGGTCCTGCAGAACCGGACCCGCCCGTACATGGCCTCCCGGCCTAGAGAGGTCCTTCTGCTGAGGGTTCCTGTTACTCATGTGTGTGTGGGGGGAGGGTAGGGGAGCGGGGTGATGAAGGGGTGCAGGGGGCACCCCAGAAGCACCCACTAACCTGGGGTGACTCCCGGGGCCTGTGGGGCTTCTCACGATGGGGACCCCCAGGGAGGAGCCATCAGACTCCCGCAGGCCCTCGGGCCCACGACCGGGAGGCCCTGACATCGCTGCTCCCTGAGGAGCAGGGGGGACACCCTGAACCGGGGACTCCGTGCCGCGCCCCCACCAGGGAGAACCCCCAGGGCATCCCACGGGGATCACCTGCAACCTGTGCTCAGCAACCAGCCTCCCGGGAGGAGCGGCCCAGGGCCAGACCGCTGAGCGCGGGGGGCACCGGCCTGGAACAGGGGAAGGACTGTGTGCCTGCACATGGCAGAGCCACTGGACACAGACCACAGGGGCTGGGACCGGGCGATGGGGAAGGAGACATACGGAACACTTTCAACAAGAAAGGATTTATTTTAAAAAAGGATCAAGCCCTGGCTGGTTTGGCTCAGTGGCTAGAGCGTCAGCCTGCGGACTGAAGGGGCACAGGCCCAGGTTGCAGGCTCGATGCCCAGTAGGGGGCGTGCAGGAGGCAGCCGGTCAATGATTCTCTCTCATCACTGATGTTTCTCTCCCTCTCCCTTCCTCTCTGAAATCAATAAAAATGTTAAAAAGTAAAATAACTAGCCGAAACCGGTTTGGCTCTGTGGATAGAGCGTTGGCCTGCGGACTGAGGGGTCCCAGGTTCGATTCCGGTCAAGGGCATGTACCTGGGTTGCGGGCACATCCCCGGTGGGAGATGTGCTGGAGGCAGCTGATCGATGTTTCTAACTATCTATCTCTCTCCCTTCCTCTCTGTAAAAAATCAATAAAATATATTTAAAAAAAAAGTAAAATAACTCTTCCTAAAATAAAAAAGAATGCATTATAACCTCGGGTGTAGTTCAGGCAGAATGAGTTTCTCTGAATAGTATACTTGAGTCTTTTTTATTTGTTTTTTAATCCTCACCAGAGGATATTTTTCCATTGATTTTTCTCTTCTCTCTCTCTCTCTCTCTCTTTATATTATTTTATTTATTTATTTTTCCCCATTGATTTTTAGAGAGAGTGGCAGAGAGAGGGAAAGACAGACATTGATGTCAAAGAAACACACTGATTGGTTGTCTTCTGCACGAGCCCCAACCAGGACCTGGGCCAGGCAGGAGCCTGCAACCCAGGCATGTGCCCTTGAAGGAATGGAACCCAGGACCCTTTGGTCTGGAGGCCGACGCTGTATCCACTGAGCCACACCGTCCGGGACAGATGTTGAGTCCTGGATAGAGGCTGTGGCTGAGCCAGTCCCTGGCTCTGTGATCGACATGCTGAGCTCCATGCAGAGCATGTGCCCCCAAGCACGACTGGGGGGGGGGCAGCCTTGGACACTGTCAGACCCCAGGTCCCCCCTCGGGGTGGCTGTGCCCAGGGGGAAGGAGAGAGCATCAGGATTCCTTTGCTCCAGGCTCCGCCCAGGAGCCGTCCTGACAAGAGCAGGAAGCCCTGCAGCCAAAGGCCAATGTGGACCCGCCCAGGAGTGGTCTCCCTGGAAGGCGGACACTGGGCGGTCGAGTCCAGCAGGCCCATGCCCAGCCCGCGGCCTCCAGGCTGGGCCAGGTGTCCCCGGGGACCAGCGCTGCACCCACTGTTGGGTCGGCTTTCCCTTCCCCGTTTCATCCTCAGGGTCTTCCCGCTCCTGTTTCCTGAGCTCCTAGTGCCTCCTGCCTCTCAGGAACCTCCTATTCATGTGACACATTTTATTGATTGTCAACCAATCCCTCTCAACCGACTAACACCAAAGTCACACCTTGATTTCTTTTCTTTCTTTTAAAAAAAATACATTTCATTGATTCTTTTACAGAGAGGAAGGGAAAGGGATAGAGAGTTAGAAACATTGTTGAGAGAGAAACATCGATCAGCTCCCTCCTGCACACCCCCCACTGGGGATGTGCCTGAAGCCAAGGTACATGCCCATGGCCAGAATCAAACCCGGGACCCTTCAGTCCACTGGCCGACACTCTCTCCACTGAGCCAAACTGGTTAAGGCTGATTGCTTTTATTTCTTAAATACTAGTAGCCCGGTGCACAAAAATTTGTGCACTCATGGGGGGGGGGTCCCTCAGTTATTAAACATTTATCGGCACAGCACTGAACACATTGGTGGTGGTGGTGGTCTTGTCAGAATGTGTTATATTATGCAGATGAAAATCTACTTAAACAGATTTGATGTAGATATTTTCAAAGATGGAAGAATTGTCCCTGTCAACTATTTTAGTTGATTCATATCTTCACTAATTGTCCTCATTGCAAAGTTTTCAGTCCCCATATGGATTGCTGGATATAATAGGTCATGAGCTGTCCCTGTCATTTGTAGCCTTTGTTACCTTAAGGACTCTAGTTTTCCATTTATATGTTTAAGTACCAACCTTCTGGCTTAAAAATGTAAGCTTTTAACACTGCTCTCTCTGTTCCATATCTTTCTGATGAAAAGTGGAGTTGGGTTGCAGCACAGGAGAGAAATTCAGAAGGGGAATATTGAAGTAATGACTGCAGTAGGAGAAGAGGGAACCTATTTCCCTGGCCACAGGCGCTGGCGCCCTGGACCACAGGGCTGGCAGCTTCTCCAGGTGGCTGCAGCCTGGGACCTCGGGCAGGTGGCTTGTCCGTCTCCTGGGCTGCAACCTGCCGCAGGCGCTGGCGCCTGGACCAAAGGTGGGCGGCTTCTTCTTCTGGCAGCTTCTTCTTTTTCTGTGCTTCCAGGGAGGGCAGTCAGTTATATGTATATGTGTGTGCATGCAAACATAGCCGTGTACACGTGTGTATGTGGAAATCTACTGGGCAAGTCAAAACCATAGAAGAGTTGCCCCCATCTCTTGAATCTTCTAGAGATATCCCCCACTTTTTTATTCTATCACTACTGGAGAGTCAGTATTTGCAGCCAGCCAGCCAGGGACTCTCTCAGTGTCTATTTCTGACTTCTTCATTCCCTGTCTGTCTTCCAACCCCTGATCATATTTCCACCTGGATGCACCATTTTTTCTCCCAATATGCTGTATAGAGAAGGAGTCAGGATGCAGTCTTCCCATGAATTGTACTCAGTAACAAACCAATTGCATTTTAGTTGGACAATGCCCCTACCCACCGTTCAAATCCCTTCCACCATGCATTTCTGTTTCTTGTTTTGTTTGTTGGATTGTTCTGCTGCTCCTTCTCCTCACCCCACCACCCTGTGATCATCATGTAAAATACTTTTACCATGAGAAGAAATTATTAAAAATACAGGTACTTTGAAAAAAAAAATACAGGTACTTCTCCAATCACCGGCCAGGGGGCGGGCAAAGACGGCCCCGGTTCTCGGATCACGGGCTGGGGGCAGGCAAAGGCAGCCCCAGTTCTCCGATCACGGGCCAGGAGGCAGGGCAAAGGCGCCCCCCCCCCCCCGGAGGCCGCCTTGCCCCGCCACCAGGCTCTTGTCTGCTGCCTGGGTTTCTGATCACCATCAGCAGCAGGTGGCTTGTCCGTCCTTCCCCTTTCACTCCCAGCATTGCACCTATGTATGCAAATTAACCGCCATCTTTGTTGGCAGTTAATTTGCATATCACCATGATTAGCCTATGGGAAGTGTAGCAAAGGTACGGTCAATTAACATGTTTGTCTACTATTAGAAGGGCTATATTTTTATTGATTTCATAGAAGATGGGAGAAGGAGAGAGAGAGACAAACTTCAATGATGAGACAGAATTATTGACCAGCTGCCTCCTGCAGGTCCCACACTGCAACCCAGGCACGTGCCCTGATGGGAACCCAACCATGACCTCCTGGTTCACAGGTCAATATTCAATCCCTGAGCCTCTCCAGCTGGGCCTGATTCCTCTGATGAGCAAGATCCAGAACAGACAGATCCTTAGAAAGAGAAAGCAGATCAGTGTTCACAGGGGACCGAACGAGGGAGGAAGGAGAGATGACTTCATGGGCACAGGGTGTGATTCTAGGCTCATGAAAAGGGGTGTGTGAGTGTGTGTGTGTGTGTGCGTGTGTGTGTGTGTGTGTTGAATTTCCATTTCCAACAAGTTCCCAGGAGCTGTGACGCTAATGGTCTGGGGCCCACACATTGAGAACCGCTGTTAAAGCTTCCTGGGAGCTGAGGGATTTCCCCTTTTTGATCTAGACTCCCCTAGAATCTTCTTTAAAAATTTTTAATATTAATTTCAGAGAGGAAGGGAGAGGGAGATAGAAACTGCTGAGCCAGCTCAGCCAGGTTCAGGAGCCTGAGAGGGGGCGGTGAAGGATGGAGAAAAGACAGACAAGAGAAGAAAGGTGGGTCTGGGTGGGACGCTGTCCTCTCTGATGGAGGGCTAGCGACAGCGCCACGGCCTGCAAGCCGAGTCCTTATTTTATAGCAGATTCCACGAGGCACAGTAAGGGCGTGGTGACAACGTTCTCGCGGGTTTCGAATCCACTCAGTTACAGGCACCTGATCAAGCTGTGTTACTGCCCCTCCCGCAGCCCACAACACTCAGCCACGTGGCCCACAGACTCGGACCATCAGGCCAAGCTCACAACCATAGCCTTTGGCTGTCATGGTGCCGGGAGGGCTTTGCCACGAGAGGACCCAGCCCTCTCATTAGTCCGAGGCTTGAACCTGTCCAAACGCTGTAGCCGCTCTCCCCAGAAACATCAGTGATGAGAGAGAATCATTGATCGGCTGCCCCCTGCACGCCCCACACAGATGGAGCCCACAACCTGGGCTTGTGCTCTGAGTGGGAATCGAACCCTGACCTCCTGGTTCATAGTCCATGCTCAACCCCTGAGCCACGCCGGCTGGGCTCCTCTGGAATCTTCTGATTACCTGGTTCATGAGAGAGAACTTATGAAAAAGGCAGGCTGGGGAGAGCCCCTCGCTCCCCAGGAGAGAGGGCGGCCATGGCTTCTGAGGGTCTGCTCAGCCTCCCTACCAATGTGGTGGACGCCCACCCGCACCCACCGGCCTGGCTGTGGCTCAGCCCTGGAGGCTGGAAGCCTGGACCCTGTGCTGTGGCCCAGAGAGGGACGGCGACCCCCGGGCCCCATCCTGACTTGCAGGCGTCGGAGGACCTGGGGAAGCCCCTGGCTCTGCTGATTCTGAGCGGGAGGCATGTGCGGGGCTGGCCCAGGCAGAGGTCCCTGTGGCCAGTGGGAAAGGGGCTCTGAGCGGTGGGGTCTGCCCTAGAGGAAGCAGGACTGGGCGGGCCCTGCCCTGGGCTAAGGGCCAGCACTGATGCCTTCTCCTCTCCTGGTTTGGCTCCTTGGGGACCCTGAAGCCAGAACTAAAGCTGAGGGACCCAGGAGAGAGCTGAGGGGCCGGTGCCCTGGGCTGACTTCCTCCCGGCCTCTCTCCAGGGCCCGTGTGCAGGCCCGGCTGGTCCAGAGCCCCTGGGGCAATCCCGGCTGTGAAACCAGGTTGCACACAAGCCCATTTCTCCTTCCTTCTCCCCAGGCCGAGTGCGCAACAGCACCCTCCACCCCAGATGTCCAACCCCAAGAGGCCCCCAGGCCAAGAGGCCAGCAGCGACCCCAGGCCTCCTGGCCGCACGGCCACTCCCAGGGGAGCTGGCCTGCATGTCCATGGGGCCGCTGGGTCCTGGCACGCTGGCCTCTCCTCTCCCAGGTGCTCTCTCTCTGCAGCCGCCCGGGCCTGTGGCTACTAGAGCACTGACCGGGCTCATCTGGGATCAAATCGGAAGAGACGTCCCGAAGGCTGGGGGCAAAGAGGAGACGGCGGCCTGTCCGGCTGGAGGTCATGGAGGGCTTGCTTGGTGGCCCAGCGTGTCAGGCAGAGAGGAGGGAGCAGGAGGGTCCTGGGAGGAGTGGTGGTGTTTTTGCAGCAGCCTGGCTCCTGGGGCCTGCAGGGCTGGGGGAGGGCAATGGGAGCAAGGAGACTCCAGGCCCTGCCCGGGTTGGCTCCGGGGTTGAGTGTGGAACTGTGAACCAGGAGGTCACAGTCCCATTCCTGGTCAGGGCACAGGCCCAGGTTGCAGGCTCAATCCCAAGTTTGGGGCGTGAAGGAGGCAGCTGATCCATGATTCTCTCTTATCATTGATGTTTCTCTCTTTCTCGCTCTTTCCCTTCCTATCTTTAATCAATAAAAATACACACACACACACACACACACACACACACACACACACACAGGCCCAGATGCCAGCGAAGGGTAGCAGGGCTCCTGAAGGGGTGGTGGTGAAATGGGTCATCAGCAGCCAAAGGATCTCCCTGACAATGGTGATGATGGTGACGATGGTGACGATGGTGACGATGGTGAGGATGGTGAGGATGGTGAGGAATGTGACTGTGGTCTAGGTGGGAATCAAACCCCGAAAAAGGCAGGCTGGGGGGAGCCCCCTCACTTCCAGGAGAGAGGGCGGCCATGGCTTCTGAGTTCTGGTCAGCCTCACTCCTGTGTGGCTGCCGCCCACGTGCACACATCGGCCTGGCTAGGGCTCAACCTGGAGGCTGGGGAGAGCCACCTCGCTCCCCAGAACAGAGGGCAGCCATGGCTGGAGCCTGGAGCCTGGAGGCGGTGGTGTCTGGAGGTTGAGGCTGCATTCAGAGGGGAGAAAGGGAATGGGTGCAGGAGCAGGCGGGGAATGGGGTGGGGAGAGGGGAAGTGTCCCAGGAGGAAGAAGGAGCAGGTGGGGAGATGGGGCAACCATTTCTTCACGTTGCCCTGAAGCGACCTCGCCCACCGAGCAGCAGCCTGTGAGGCAACAGGGAGCTGAGGCAAGCCCCGCAGCCGGGCTGCGGTCAGGGGGCACCCGGCCGGGCTGCATAAAGGGGGGCCCTGCGTACTGGGGGTACTCCATTCGGGGACATGGAGACCCAGAGGAGCCGCCTGTGCTGGGGGTGCTGGCCGCTGCTGCTGTTGCTGCTGGGCCTGGCCATGCCCACGCCTCTGGCCGCCGCCCGGGCCCTGACCTACCAGGAGGCCGTGCGCCTGGCTGTGCAGGGCTTCAACCAGCGCTCCCGGGAGGCCAGCCTCTACCGCCTCCTGCAGCAGGACCTGCAGCCCCAGGGCGTGAGTGGGGGGCGGGAGGGGCTCTGCTCTGGCCTCCTGCCACTCCCTGGGCTTCTGCTTGGCCACCTTCAGGGAGGCTGCTCCCTCCAGGGGTCCCCCCTCCTCCAGGGCACCTCCCAGGGCTGTGTCCCCTCCCAGAGGCCGCTCCGCCTGCCAATCTATTCTGTGCAATGAGGTCCCCCCCAACCCCCACTTAGGCTTCAGGGCTTCTGGGGTCCCAGGGAAGAGCAGGCCATCGGGGCTGGGGTGTGACTCCCTGCTTTATTTATTTATTTTTAATAAGTACATGTAGATATATTTTTATTATTTAAAAATCCTCAACCATGGATATTTTCCATTTATTTTTAGAGAGGGGGAAAGACAGAGAGAAATATCGATGTGAAGGAGACACCTGGATTGGTTGCCTCCTACAAAAACCCTGATCAGGGCCTGGGCCAGGGAGGAGCTTGCAATGGAGATATGGACCTTTGACCAGTATTGAACCCGGGACCCTTTGGTCTGCAGGCTGGCGCTCTATCCACTGAGCAACCCCAGCCAGGGCTAAAATAGATTTTTATGGATTTCAGGGAAGAAGGGAGAGGGAGAGAGATAGAAACATCCATGATGAGATTCATGGATCGGCTGCCTCCTGCACACCCCCTACTGGGGAATGAGCCTGCAGCCCGGGCCTGTGTCCTTGACCAGGAATTGAACCCAGGACTGAAGGTGCCCTGAGCCAAACGGACCAGGACACCGCCCTGCTCTGAGTGTCCTGTGCTCATCTGCCTCCCACACGGGAGGCCCCAGGAGCCCTGGCCCCCGGTCCCCTTGGATCTGGGCGGGCTCTGCCCTCTCCCCCTGCCCACACCCAGCACCAAACCAGCCCCAGGGACAGGGCAGGGGCTGCTGAAGGCTGTTCTCTTTGGAGGGGGCGGGGCGGGCTGAGACCAGGGGAGCAAGCAGAGGCCCAGCCCTGGTCTCCCCACTTTCTCTCCCGCCAGGACCTGAACCCAGACACCCCGAAGCCCGTGAGTTTCACCGTGAAGGAGACTGTGTGCCCCAGGACGACGCGGCAGCCCCCCGAGCAGTGTGACTTCAAGGAGAACGGGGTGAGCTGGGGGCTGGGGCGCCCCGAGATGCTGGACAGGAGGCCTCGGGGCCCATTCCCAGGGACGGGGCGGCCGGGAGGGCTCAGCTCCGGGTGGAGGTGTGACCTGCGCCCTTGCAGCTGGTGAAGGAGTGCGCGGGGACCCTCACCCTGGACCAGGACAACGGCTACTTTGACGTCGTCTGCGAGGAGGTGAGCGGCCCCTTCTGAGACCTGGGGGCCGATGGGTGTGGCCCTGGAGCGTCCTGGGCCCAGGGAGCCCCCTGCCCGTCCTCCCCCAGCCCCAGCCTGGATCTGAGTGGGGTCCCTGCCCAGGAGCCTGTTAGAAAGGCCCCCTCCCAGCCCCCTGACCTGCAGCCTCAGACTCCTGGTGAGGCCCAGCAGGGGGCATGCAGCCACCTTCCAGAAGGTTCCTGCTGAGGCTGGGGGGCCGCTCACTGTGCTGATGAGCTTTCAGCCCGGCTCCCCTCGGCTTTGCTGGATGGGCCCTGGGACCTGGGGAAGCCACTAGCCACCTCTGGGCCTCAGTTTCCCCATCTGTTTAAGGGGTGGGGGCTCCACCACAGGCTCCAAGGTCACAGGCAGAGGGGGAGCCGGGCCCCTAGGCGCCTCGCTGGCCCCGGAAGGGGGTGCAGGTGGGGGCTCCTGACCCTGGCCCAGCCCCACATGGAGCCCGTTTCCTCCCCCTGCACAGATCAAGAACGTCTTGAACCCGTTGATTAAGGCGGGCATATTCATTTTGAAACATAGACGCCCGATTGGGAGAGGGATCGAGATCACTGGCAGGGGAATCAAGAAGTTTTTCTCCAAATGATCCCCTGAGCAAGAGCCCTGAGTTCTGTTTGGCCCTGGCCCCGGCCTCTGCGCTCTGACCAATAAAATCTGGGAAAGCCACCTCCTCAGGCCTCAGTGTCACCTGCGTCGCCTTCTCTCGCTCCCGCAGTGAAGCCCGTGCGGCTGTGTGTGTCTCCGTTCCTGAAAATCAGTAAATGGGGGGAGAGGTGGGTACCTTGGGCGGTGGCTCAGGTGATTGGAGCATCGTCCTGGACCCAAAGGGTACGGTTCCTTCCCCGTCAGACACATCCCTGCTCTCAGGCCCATCCCTGGTTGGGGAGCATTTGGGAGCCAACAGGTCAATGTTCTCAGTAACATTGAGGTTCCTCTCTCTCTCTCTCTCTCTCTCTGTCTCTCTCTCTCTCAAAATCAATAAAAACAGGAAATCCCTGGGTGAGGATTAAGGCCGGGGTGGCTCAGTGGTTGAGCACTAACCTGTGAACCAGGAGGTGGCAGTTGGATTCCTGGTCAGGGCACAGGCCCGGGTGGTGGGCTTGATCCCCAGTGGGGGGCGTGCAGGAGGCAGCTGATCAGTGATTCTCTCTCATCACTGATGTTTCTATCTCTCCCTCCTTCTATCTGAAATCAATAAAAATATATTAAAACAGATAATTAAAAGCAATAAGCACTTTTCCTTATGTGAGGATGAAACCCGGCGGCTCCCATGGAGCTCCCCCGACCCCTCCCTGCCTCTGGGAGCCTCTAGGAGACGGCCCTGCAGAACCCGGACCTGCCCACATGGTTTCCAGCCTAGCGAGGCCCTTCTGCTGAGGGTTCCTGTTACTTCATGTGTGTTTGTGTGTGGGGGGGGGAGGGTAGGAGAGAAGGGGGATGAAGGAGTGCAGGGGGCACCCCAGAAGCACCCACTAACCTGCCGTGACTCCCGCGGCCTGTGGGGCTTCTCACGATGGGGACCCCCAGGGAGGAGCCATCAGACTCCCGCAGGCCCTCGGCCCCACGACCGGGAGGCGCTGACATCGCTGCTCCCTGAGGAGCAGGGGGACACCCTGAACCGGGGACTCCGTGCCGCGCCCCCCACCAGGGAGAACCCTCAGGGCATCCCACGAGGATCACCTGCAACCCCCCCACCAGGGAGAACCCTCAGGGCATCCCACGAGGATCACCTGCAACCTGTGCTCAGCAACCAGCCTCCCGGGAGGAGCGGCCCAGGGCCAGACCGCTGAGCGCCGAGGGCGCCCGCCTTCCGGCCTCACGGACCACCTGTGCCCAGGGAGCACCAGAGCCTAACGACCACCAGAGCCCAGGGAGCACCAGAGCCTAACGACCACCAGAGCCCAGGGAGCACCAGTGCCCAGGGAGCACCAGAGCCCCAGAGCCCAGGGAGCACCAGTGCCCAGGGACCACCAGTGCCCAGAGAGCACCAGAGCCCAGGGCTGAGAGGGAAAGGGCTGCGCAGCCCCAGCAGGGGAGCCTCTTAGACCTGCAGGGGCTGGTCTAGGCCCCTAGACTCTAGGGGAAGGGGTTGGAATCCAGAGGTTCTCAACCTGTGGGTCGCGACCCCTCTGGGGGTGGAACGACCCTTTCACAGGGGTCGCCTAAGACCATCGGAAAACACATATATAATGACATATTGTTTTTGTGATTAATCACTATGCTTTAATTATGTTCAATTTGTAACAATGAAATTGGGGTTCACCACAACATGAGGAGCTGTATTAAAGGGTCGTGGCATTAGGAAGGTTGAGAACCACTGGTTGGAATCGGTAAAGGATGGAGCTGAGAATCCATTGTAGAGAGCAACCCAAGGACTGTGTGCCTGCTCATGGCAGAACCAGTGGACACAGACCACAGGGGCTGGGACAGGTCGATGGGGGAAGGAGACACACGGAACACTTTCAACAATAAAGGATTTATTTAAAAAAAATCAAGCCCTGGCTCCTTTCGCTCAGTGGCTAGAGCAGTGATGGCGAGCCTATGACATGCATGTCAGAGGTGACACGCAAACTCATATTTTTGGTTGATTTTTCTTTGTTAAATGGCATTTAAATATATAAAATAAATATCAAAAATATGTCTTTGTTTTACTATGGTTGCAAACATAAAAAAATTTCTATATGTGACACGGCAGCAGAGTGAAATTAGGGTTTTTCAAAATGCTGACACGCCGAGCTCAAAAGGTTCGCCATCACTGGGCTAGAGAGTCAGCCTGTGGACTGAAGGGGCCCAGATTTGACTCTAGTCAAGGGCACAGGCCCAGGTTGCAGGCTCGATGCCCAGTAGGGGGCGTGCAGGAGAAGCTGATCAATGATTCTCCCTCATCATTGATGTTTCTCTCCCTCTCCCGTCCTCTCTGAAATCAATAAAAATATTAAAAAATAAAATAACTCTTCCTAAAATAAAAAAGAATCCATTATAGCCTCGGGTCTAGTTCAGGCAGAATGAGTTTCCCCCCAATAATGTGCTTATGTTGAGTCTTTTTTTTTGCTTTTTAACCCTCACCCGAGGATATTTTTCCATTGATTTTTTTCTTCTCTCTCTCTCTGTCTATTATTTTTATTTTTTATTTATTTTTCCCCATTGATTTTTTAAAATATATTTTATTGATTTTTTACAGAGAAGAAGGGAGAGGGGAAGGAGAGGGATAGAGAGTTAGAAACATCGATGAGAGAAACAGCGATCAGCTGCCTCCCGCACGCCCCCCACCGGGGATGTGCCCGCAACCAAGGCACATGCCCCCGACCGGAACCGAACCCGGGACCCTTCAGTCCGCAGGCCGACGCTCTATCCACTGAGCCAAACCGGTCAGGGCCCCATTGATTTTTAAAGAGAGTGGAAGAGAGAGGGAAAGACAGAAACATCGATGTCAAAAAAACACATTGATTGGTTGCCTCCTGCATGCCCCCTACTGGGGATTGAGCCTGCACCCCAGGCATGTGCCCTTGATTAGAATTGAACCTGGGACCCTTCAGTCTGAGGGCCAACCTTCTACCTACTGAACCAAACCAGTTAGGGCTATTTCTTCATCTCCTTTGTTGGCTTGTGCAATATTTGGTCTCACAAATTCTATATAAATTCAAGCTCCTCACTATGATCACTACTGTAGATCGTCATGGTATGGCCCCCAATATCCCTCCCAGTACTCCTCCCTTATGCAGGCCCTTCCCAAATGGACTCTGTCTGGTCATGTGACTTGCTTTGGCCAATGGGATGTTAGCAGACATGACAGGAGCAGGAACTTGGAAAGCTTGTGAATGGGGGCTGGCCCCCTGGGGACCCTAAGACCACATGCTGTGCAGCTCCAGGTGAAAGCCCGCGAGGGACCCACCCGCTGAGTGCAGCCACGAGTGAGTCCAGGTGAGACCAGTGGATTCCCCGCCAACCGACAGACACATAAGAACAAACCATCCCTCTCTCTCTCTTTATAAAATATATTTGCATTGATTTCAGAGAGGAAAGGAGAGGGAGAGATAGAAACATCAATAATGAGAAAATCATGGATCGGCTGCCTCCTGCACACTCCCCACTGGGGATCGAGCCGGCAACCGGGCCTGTGTCCCTGACCAGGACTGAGCCCAGGACCCTTCAGTCTGCTGGCCGGTGCTCTATCCACTGAGCCACACCGGCCGGGGCGAGATTATTCTCTTCAGCAACTACATTTTGAGTTGATTCATCAGGCAGCGTGGCCTGTGTTCACATAAAGGCCCCCCTCCCCGCAGGGCGCAGCCCACTCACCCACAAGGTGAGCCGTGGCCTGTGTTCACATAAAGGCCCCCCTCCCCCCAGGGCGCAGGCCGGGCCGGGTGCCCAGCCGGGACCGGAGCCCACTCGCCCACAACGTGAGCCCATTGTGTGTGGGCCCCCGGGGCACCGGAGGGGAGGGGCCTCAGGACAGGCTCACTGACTCCACCAGGACCAGCAGGCCCTGAGCAGCCGGCCGGTGGGACAGGGACTCGCACTGAGGGAGGGCCAGGTGCTGCTCACAGTCACCGTCACTCAGGCAGCTCCTCCTCGAAAAGGCGTCAATAGTTTCAGGACAAAGAGGAGCCCTCCTTCCTCCGAACCCCCAGGACCAGCCCAGCGAACAGGCAGATGAGAGAGAGGCTCCAGGCGGGGGCAGTGAGGAGCCAGGCTCTCAGGCGGGGCGGTGCCGGGCCTCCCCATCCAGCCTTCAGACCCACAGGCCGG